TCTTTAGTTGATTTTGATGTGTGTTTTGGATCGTTGTCATGTTGAAAGATAAACTTCCTCTTCATCTTCAGTTTTCTTACAGAAGTCAAAAGATTTTGTGCCAACACTGACTGGTATTTTGAGCTGTTCATAGTTACCTCCACCCTGACTAAGGCCCCGGTTCCAGCTGAAGAAAAACAGCCCCAAAGCATGATGCTGCCACCACCGTGCTTCACTGTAGGTGTGGTGTTCTTTGGGTGATGAGCAGCTTTGTTTTTGCGCCAAACATACCTTTTACAATTATGGACAAAAAGTTCATTGAACCACAACACATTTTCCCCACATGCATTTGGGAGATTTCAAATGTCTTTCTGCAAAATGTAGCCTGGCTTGGATGTTTTTCTTGGAGAGATAAGGCTTCTGTCTTGCCACCCTTCCCCACAGCCTAGACATATGAAGGAGACGGGAGATTGTTGTCACATGTACGTACAACACAGCCAGTAGTTGAGAGATATTCCTGTAACTCCTTCAGTGTTGCTGTCGGCCTCTTGGTTGCCTCCCTGACCAGTTTTTTCCTTGTTTTTTCATCAACTTTGGCTGGCCGTCCTGTTCTTCGTAGGGTCGCTGACTGTCTTTATGACTGTCTTCACCGTGTTCCACGGTTGATTTAACTTCTTAGAAATTGTTTTGTACCCTTCTCCTGACTGATACCTTTGAATAATGAGATCCCTCTGATGCTTTGAAAGCAAGACGTGGCTACAAAAATGTGATGGAAAATCTACTAGAACAGCTGATTTTTATTTGGGGTTCGTCAGAGGGACTTTACATGGTGACATGAGTTTACATGTAACTGGTTGAATCCAAACACAGCCATGTTATACAGGGGTGTTCATATTTATGCAACAAGGTTATTTTAAGTTTTTATTTTTCCCTTCGTGAAGATTTCAGTTTGTTTTTCAATTGCCTATTACATGTTATGGGTCACATTAAAAGAGGAAAAACTTATGAAACGATATATGCTTGTGTCTTTTCTTTACATCACAAAAACCTGGCTTTGAACAAGGGTGTGTAGACTTTTTATATCCACTGTATGTATATGTGCGTGTATGTGTGTTCATACCTAAATCTGAGAGAGCCATTTAGTATAAACAATGAAAACATATTGAAGCTTGAATCTCACCAAACTGTCAAGTTCAGGGTCTTCGCTGAAGAAAGGTTTGCCCTCCTTTTCTTGATTACGAACAAAGTTCTCAATGTCCACATCAAAGCTTGCCGAGGTAATGCAGTCAGAGCTTAGTGTAGATTGTTCACATTTCTCAAAGAGCAGAGCCAGGAGAGGGAACAACGGATGCCTGTACAAACACACGCACACACAGGATACCACACTTGGTTATAAGTTATAAGAAGTTTGCACCCGTTAACAACATTGTTTCAGAAGCAAACTAATGAAGACCCCCAAGCTACAGTGCTTGGTGTAGTCTGAATTATTTTATAAAAGCTTCCATTTGAAATATATCTACATTCAATGGTAAACTCAAAACCTACCTACTTGATTAAGCTTACATATATACATATATATATATATATACACATATACATATACATACATATATGTATATATATATACATATAT